CTCTAGAACCACCTGCCAAAGCATCCGAAATTATGAAAAGCTAGGATGAATTTGAGCATTGTGGCATTGTGCTCTAACCGCATAGGTGCCGAGTACTTGTTCAAGAGCTTGCTCTAACCGCATAGGTGCCGAGTACTTGTTCAAGAGCTAAGTTTTGGATCAGGGTGAGGGCTTAGCTCGGCTTGTCACCCATGTGATTCTTGTTATAATCATGACTTATCCTTCACAACAGGATATAGCTTAATGAGCAAGAACTGGTAGCAGTAGGAGGGCTAACGAGCCCTCGAAAACTATGAGAGTCATCTGGGAGGAAATCAGGATAAGGGAGAGCTAGAAGGTCTGAATATTCTCAGAATTTTGTAGGAATTGTCGATTTTCTGGTGGCGTCTGATGGTGACCGTCAGCCGTCTGATAACCTAGCGATGGCTTGCGCCAAACCAGTGCGCCACTCCGAAACACAAGCTCTTCGTTAGCCCTGTGAGCTGGTCCCGCTTTATTTCTTCAGCTAGACATAGTGATTCCACAAAGTCAACTTTTACTATATGATATAGCATTTATGAGCTAATTAGTAGGATCATGTGAGTAAGACTCACCTTCAAGTTTCATTCCGGACTTAAGGCAACGATTGAAGCGACAATAACGACATGCGTTTCGTCCAGCTGCAAGCTAAAGCATTAGGTTGAAGCCTGCATGGCGAGCGCCAGAAAACGCCCGCTAAACTCCACAAGAATGAAAAGAATAAAATGCTAAAAACTGAAACTCCTGCGCCCGAGCGATTTTATGCAGCCCTATAACTTTGACAATAATTTCTTACCGGGACAGTGCTCGGACACTGGTAACATTGAGACTCTGCCCGGTGAAGTTCGACGACGGAGGGGGAGGGAGGGCATTTTGCTTTCCATCGATGTGTCGACCCATCTAGATAGCCTTTTCTTGAGTTGACACGTTTAGTGGCTAGACGAGCTTGCTCCAGCTTCACAAGAGTTCACAAGTTTCACCAGAGTGAGACTTGTAAACCGGAAGTAGTGAAGCAGTGAAAGTGCAAAATGCCCCCCCCGTCGCCAGACTGCGCCGACTCTGTCCTACTAAGAGGAGCTGACTGAATTTGTCGTACACCGGGAAGGCGAGCAAAAAGGACACGTTGATGCAACATGTGAGACGCTGCTAGTGGCGCTTATCAACAAAGGCTGCCTCCCGCGGAGTGACGAGGTACATGGAGGTTCGAGGGAAGAACATTTCTGATGTTGTCTTCAAATAGTCCAAGCACTTCTCCATTCACAGCTCTCCCTAGCCGCGAAAAAGTGAAGTCATCCAACATCGCAGACGATTTCAAGGAAAACTACAATATGTCGCAATATATTTTTTGCCTCGTCCCCTCCCCCCTTCGCCTACCCCTTAATCAAATTAATGACATTTTCTTAAAATTGCTGCAACCCGTTCCAATGTCACTTTCTAGTAGTCTCGACACTCAAAACTTTCTTTTTTCTGACTTTATCGAAATAAATTCCCTCATATCAGTCAAACCGCCTCTGAGATATAATCGTTTTCGCTGGCAGGGGTTTTCAAAGGGTGGGAGAGGGGGGGGAGGAGGTGTATGCGGCTCCGGCCTTTGCCTGCCGCTTCGACACCTTCCACAATTGGTGGCAATGAGGCTTTGGCGCGCGGCTCACCCTTCCTCAAGCTCGATACAAGCCAACTGTCTGCGAATACGACCTTGTATCAGTCATGGCGAAAGTCCCAACCTCCTCTTGCTCCCTGAGAGATGTGCCCCGTGACAATTTTAGCGCATTTCAAAGACGTCCCGTGACAATTTTAACGTACCGCACCAGTTGTGGGCAAGTTTTTTCAATGCGGAATCGTCAAGCGAAAAACTTGCGAAATTTTACGATGTTGTCGTAAACGTCTAACCACAACCGTGAAAGTGAGGAATACGGTAGCTGCGAGAGAAATGGGAAGTTCTTTTCACTCGCATCGGAAAAAGCACGTAAGCGTTGCTGCATGGTAACTTCAAAAGAAATGGTCTGAATTATTTCATGATCAGGCTGTTCTAGCCGTGCTCATGTTTAATCGAATGCCCATGAAGCCCTAGCATTTCTTCCGTCTTCGAGGCTCATTTTCAAAACGATTCGTGATTAGTTCTCCATATGCGGCACATGAGGCACAAGGGTTGAGAGAAAACAGAAGCTCCATGGGATGTGGGACTCACCATGAGGTGGGCCTTCCACTGATCCGATATTCTGGTTGATATCGTCGCAATCAGTAGGGGCGGTATTAGTGGAGCGGAACACCTCGCCTCTGGCCGCGTTTCTCTACCAGTAATGACGGTTAGCGATCGATTCAAAAAAACATCTAGTGGCAGGAAAGACGCTGCGAGTGGGATTATGATTCCCTTCCTCTTGAACCGCCCCGGCTGATTGCGACGACACCAACTGTACTCCTTGTGACCGTTTTACTGAAGTTTTGGCGAATGGACGATAGAGAAATGTTGCCCTATTCTGAGATATAACAAAATGTGGGCGGTACTACACCTCGTACACCTCAACGAATCAACGCAGTGGATGATAAGCTCCATGTCTTTCCGGATACACCAAATCCTCAATTTTCCCAGTGGTGAGCACTTATCACCGGGCATTTTATTGAACAAAAAAACTCATTCATTGACTGGGCCACTGACTCCACGCGCACCCACAGCTCGCCCCCGCCAGGACCGCATGTTGTAGCCCAGGCACGATTGGGTCACCTCCACGATTCCAGATACAGAAATTTGCAGCTTCTCCTGGAATATTTGAGATAAACGCTGATCATACTGTAGTCCCTGAGTTCACCGAAGTTTGGGTCTAGAAACCCTCTGTGAAAAGGACTACTCATGGCAAAGTCGAAGCTTCGTTAAACAGACCCCATCCCTCTTCCGCAAGGGAGAAGAAGCGCAATAGTTTCTGACCAGGGCACGTGCTGCCGTAGGAGAAACTTGTTGCAATTCCTCCCTCCCCTCTCCTCCCCCCCCCCCCCCCACAGAACTTCCTCCTCTAGCGACCAACTACGGCGTCCCTCTCTGGGGATCCCCAGAATACGACGTGCCCTATTACTGACTTTCCTTTGCATGACTCTTTATCAGTCATCCTAGTGACAGTTGGCCAATGACAGTCATCAGCCACCTTTACTCGATTCTTCTTGAAGTTACAGGGTGAAAGTTGCCCTCTACATCGCTTCTTGTTCGGTGTAACCCTTATTTCCTAGAGAATCCCCCATTTTCCCAACATTACAGACTTTCGCTGAATTTTCTTCCACGGGCTCATGAATTGAGCAACCAACTAGTAACTCGTAACACGATTCTCTTTTTGCAATGCTGCTAATCCGCTGGACCGCTGGATCTCGTTAGTTATACCGAACGATTACTGTACCGATTACGATAATCTGCACTAACCTGTTGAGATTGAACATCGTCCATCGAATCGGCATGAATATGACAATCCACTCTTGACGGTTCTCCAGAAGAAGCACTTACATCCGTGGCATGCGGCAACTCCATAGTAGAGATGCGAGCAGGCTCGGTCTCCGCACACCACACACTATAATTGACGGTGATTTTGGACCACAGCGAAACTTGGCAGTGGAATCCATTGAAACTCCAAAATGGGCATGCTCCCAAATGGGCGCTCTAAGGTACAGGAGTTGGACGCTCATTAGGGGGAGCAATCGCAGTTATTTGCTGATGTTAGGGGGATTGAAGGACAAGAGGGGAAAGGCACATTCCGCAACGAGTGAATGGGCGAACAACCACCGTGACTCCCTCATGGCCGTCCCCCTCATTCTGGTATGAAGTAGTGAGGTGATTCTGAGGGCGCTTCTTTGTCTCCGCCCATACGATCAACGCGGAATACACTTCTGAGCTGTGGGATGTGGGACAGTTTTGGCCACCAACAGCTGCACCTCAAATACTCATTTTCACCCTGGAAACTCTGGCCAAGTACCAGATCTGAGATTTCAATTTTGTAGCGCTAGATTGTCCCACCTAACTTGGATGGGATCTTCTCGCCCTACAAGTGATGCCATCAGGGAGCAACCCCTAGAAGATTTCAACGATTCCATCGACAAAGTTACAGGACATATGCCTTTCGCGCTCACCAGTGCTCCGACGGCGGCCTTGTCGCGACCGATCGGCGGCTCCGGTGGATACGCGACATTAGCACGTTGTTTTGGATTTGGCTGAGCATCGGCGGACATTTTTTAAAGATAGTGTGAAAGAAATTGCAATCGAACGGACCGTATGATCGCGGGGTTGGCAGACTCCACCTTAAATAAAATTCACTCAAAAACAAATTGGTAGCACGCTTTTTGTGACTACAAAGCGCGGGGTTCACTTGTAAAATAGAGGCAATAAGAGGAAGAGATCTTAACAGGTTCAAGTAGGGTATTAGGCCCGCTCTTTCGTACACCAAAATTCCAAATTTTTGAATTTCTATCAAAAAGGAGGCAATTGTCGGTGAAATAATTAGAAACGCAATAATGAAAAAGACAAAGTTTTGGCTCAGGGTGGGCGCAAGTTGGGAGGAGTAAGTGCATTCATTGGTGGCCTGCACAGGCCCCGCTGTTTGCAATATGGTCCCTCATCAAATCGAACTCTACCCAGGGATTTGCAAATACGGGCTGTTCACGCAGGTTGGAAGGTGCGAAGGAACTATCATGGGCTGGGAGTATGAGGATTGCTGCCTGAACCTGGACGGTAGGGAAGGAACACCGGGTGGGTAAAACAGTTCTTATTTGCAAAAATCCCTGGGCACATTTCGGCTTGATGGGGGAAGGGGGGAGGAGGGGACCACATGGCAATCAGAGGGGCCTGTTCAGGACATCAATGGACTTTACAGGAGACGGTGGTTTACAAACTTCACCAAAATGAGACCTGTTAGTCAGCATTAACAACCAAAAGGAGCTAGCGGAGGTGCTAAATACCCCTCCCGAGAGAAACAGTCTTCATTCTCGACGGTTCTAATGTCTTGGGAGTTTCTGTTGCCCCTCCTTATTGGGATAAAGCGCGCAGAAAACTTCCAAAGTTTGCACTGAAACACAGGGCATCCACCATCTTATGGAAAAAAGGAGATCGGATTTTTATATTTATTATTCTAAAAAGAATGTTAGTAATTTTTGATTTAAAGAGAAGGTTTAGTTTCCGTCAGAAACAAGTTCCCTGTATGCCAGCAAATTCAATATTTTTGCCCTTTTGATGGATGATATATGAGGGCAAAACCTGATTTTCACGTTCGATTCAACACTTTTGTGTAACTGCACAAATCACACTCCCACTGTAAAACCTCCTGGGGTGCAAAAAGTCAGAATTATTTCATTGGCTTGCTAAAGGAGGATCCGGGAACCGCCACGTCTATATAATACCCCCTCCCCAAACAACCGGCAAGCTGGAAGGGCTATAAACCCTGCGATGTGAGCACTATCAAAACTAGTAAGAAAAACTGCAATAAAAACGGCTAGGGGGGAGTCAAAAATTAAAGAAATATCAGAACCCGAGTAGGGTTATTCTAACAATTACCCCACCAGCCCCCACACATCATTGGTGATGCGGATTTCACGGTATGGAGGTTGTGCACCCCACCGAGTTCACTCAAGATGCTCAAAAAGTTCTGCTAGATGGGGCCCACATGAGATTTTACCAAGAAGAGGAGGCCCACATGAGATTTAACCACAAAGAAGAGCCCAAAAGGTTGAACCAATTCCCAAGTCATACTTGAACCTGTCAGGATCCCAAACAGGAGTGAAAAAAGAAACAAAAGAAACAAAGCAAATAAAATAAAGATGATGAATAGCGCACAGAGAACTGATACATTTGGAACGAACGATTGTGAAAAATGAACGAACGAGCACGTAGAGGCGACGACAGGCAGCCAGTGATAGCGACGAAGTGATTGTTTTCTATCGATGACGTCGTCGCCTCAACAGCGAACCGGATCGCCACACCATCACGGTCGATGAAACCCGGACAAAACCACAGAAAAATCCTTGCATGGATGTGGAACTTGGGAAAAGGGCAAAACGAAGTTGCAAATATCAGCAGGGCACGTCATAGGTTAGGCACCCCCGGTGGGGGTCGCATCGGGTTACCAGAGGGAAGAGGGTCGTAGAGGGAAGAGGGCCGTTGTGAAAACGAGAAAGAATAGAAAATAAGAAGTTGAGAGATTTTAGGGAGACACTAGGTAGGAAATTGAGTGGCGGAGGGGGTTGGGATGGCACTTTTTTATGGGAGGGCGGATTTCCATCGCAACTTCAACCGGCACAATGATGTACTCTGTCAGCACCATCTCTCCTAGGCCTCCACACTACAAAACGATCCTTTTCAATTCAAAAGTCCAACCGTTCCTATTTTCTTATCGACTATTTCGCAAAAGAATGCCCGTAAAGCGCTGAGGGGCTCAGTGGGGTGAGTGCGAAGAGATGTCTACCGCACCAGCTGCTGAAATGTCTCTTAAGAATCCA